GAGGCCCCTCGCCAAGATGATCTACAAAGGATCCTAGGTGCTGGACGAGCCCCTATGCTGCGCGGCACCCTCTGACCCTCTGCTGGCCAGGACCCCTGGCCAAGTCGACAGAAAGGGCTCCTTTGTGCCAGACGTGCCCCTGTGCTGTGCGGCACCCTCTGCTAGGCAAGACCCCTCGCCAAGCTGATTGAAAGAGAGTCCTTAGTGCTTGACGTGCCCCATCTGCTGTGCGGCACCCTCTGCTGGGAAAGACCCCTCGCCGAGCTGGTTGAAAAAACACATCCTTGGTACGAGAAGTGCCCCTTTGCTGCGCGGCACCCTCTGCTAAGAGCCGACCTCTCCCAAAGCTGATACGCAAATCCGTGGTGCCAGACGTGCCCCTTTGCTGTGCGGTACCCTCTGCTAGGCAAGATTCCTCGCCAATCTGATTCCAGAATACTTCTTGTTGCTAGACGTGCCCCTTTGCTGTGCAGCACCCTCTGTTGGGCAAGACCCCATCGCTAAGTTGATTTACAAAGGATCCGTGGTGTGGGAAATGTCCAAGTGCTGTGCGTCAGCTTCTGTTGCACGAGTCCCTTCACCAGTCTGATTTGAACAACACTCTTGGTGCTAGACGTGCCCCTTTGCTGTGCGGCACCCCCTGCTAGACAAGACCCCTCGCCGAGTTGATGTAGACATGAGTCTTTGGTTGCGTTGTTTTCGCGTCGCAGCTTAAGCATTGCTTTGTTTTCGGGTTCGCAACGTTTCCCATGTTCGAAAGCCTTCAACCCGAGCGTACCTTGAGTATACCACCAACTTCCGCTTCCAAAACGACACCCTATACTCAACTGCTTCCGTCCCCAATGCAACACCCACCACTCAATGACCGTTTTCTTTAACACAGCACCGAACATGCTCAACGCCTTCCACCCCAGGCGTAGTTTAATTGTATTTTCCTCTTCAACAGCTTCCGTCTCCATCACAGCACCCATTACTCAACAGCCCCCGTTCCCAACGCATCACACAATACGCAACGGCCTTCGTCTCCAGTTCAACCGCCTCCGCCCCGAGTGTAACTTATTGCAATCGTACTCAACAGCCTTCGCCTCCAACACAACGCCCAACATTCAACATCCTCCATCCCCAACGAACGCAACGCACAACACCCATCAGCCTCCAATCGATTGTTCAGCTGGCGATGGGGGAGAGGAAGGAGGGGAGGAGGGGGGAGGAGGGGTGGGGAGGAGAGAGGAGGAAGGGAGGATGGGCGAGAGGAGTGGAGCGGAAGGGCTGGAGAGGAGGGGAAGGAGAGAGGGGCAGGAGGGAGGGGAGGGCGAGGGGAGGAGGGGGGAGAAGGGGGGGACGGAGGAGTGGAGCGGCGGGGAGTGCTTGGGCGGGCGGCCGTGGCAGGGGGGAGGCCCGCCTGCGCGGGCCTAGCCCTCCTCCTCCTGCTCTCCTCCTCCACCTCCTCATATACAAATACATTTACATGTCAGTATACAGATACACGTACATATGAACATACCTTTACATAGACATGTACATATACATGTACACATATATATATATATGCATGTGCATATGCATTTGCACATAGAAACACATTTACATACACACATACATTTACACATACACATTCATATGGATATTTACAAATCCTTGCACAACACGCATTTACACACATGCACATTGACATGGACAAACTAATGATACACACATCATGCACACACATTCACACTCACATACACATCTACTTTTCATATGGGTATGCGTATACAAGTTCACATAAACATACACATACATATCCATTCACATACACATACGTATACATATGCATACATACAGACCTGCACATGAACATCCACATACACGTACACATACATGTACATGTACACATACAGGTCCATACACATGTACATGTGCGTATCCGTATACATGTCCATACACATAAGCGTACCCACCCACACATTTTCATGTCGTCATACGCATACATACACAATTATACATACATGTACACCGACATTTGTCTTGGCATGTGCATATATTCATACACATACACATACTTTTACGTCTAACACTTATAGACGTACGCATATAGACATAACATGTAATGCAATTCCACATACATATACATTCACACGTACATGCGCATCCACATACATGTACGTATACATCTACATATACATGCACATCCACATACACACATATGCATCTATACACGTAAAATTGTGTATCTATACGCACACATACATGCACATATACATGCACATGCACATATCAATGTATATACTCATGTACATATACAACTGTGTATATATACACATACAGTCACACATACATGTACAATCATTTACATACGTATGTACATACCTCAGCGAGGAGGGACGCGGAGGAGAAGGGGGAGGGGGAGAAGGACGAAGAGGGGGGGAGGAGGAGGAGGATGAGGATGGGGTTGGGCGCGGACCAGTGCCAATGTGCAGCATGGGGGGCCAAGCGAACCTCGACCCGCAAAGAGGGCCATCGAGGGGTTACACCGGGCACCAACACACTCCCAGCATGGCCGCCATTGCTTCGAAACGGCCCCCGAGGCCTTCAAGACGCCCCAAGAGGGCTCCAAACTCCAAACTGCTTTCCCTCCAAAGCCCCAATGGGCATCGATTATTGATTTGCCTTGGTTGTTTTCGAGGACTTTCGTGTTGTCGTCTGCTCCGCCGCCTGACGCCAAGAAGCACAAGAGACGTGGAACATGTGGGAGAGGGGGAACTGGGAGGAGGAGGGGTGGGTGGGAAAAGGGGGGGAGGAGGGGGTCAGCTGTGACGTGGAAGGACGGAGAAGAGACACCAGGGGAGCAAGAGGGCGAGGACGGCGGGGGATGAGGGACCCGAGGCCGCATGCCCCGCGCGCCCGCCAGGAGGTCGGTGGCCCACTGCCCCCCCGCCTCCAGCGCGCCAGCGCGGCCCCGCTGCCTCTGGGGCCGTGGGAGCGGGGGTGGCAATGGGCAAGAAGCGGCACGAGGGGAACCAGGACGGGAACGATCCGGATGAGCCCGACGACAGGCGGGCCAAGAAAGCGTCAAGGCCGCCAGGGGTGCCGCGAGGGCGGGGCGGGGGGGGCGGGGGGGGGATGTGGGGGTGTGGAACTATGGGGGGGGGGGAGTAACCGGAAGTAGCGGAGGGCGAATGGGGAAGGGGAGGCGAAGATGAGGATGAGGAGGAGGAGGGGTGATGAGGAGGAGGAGGAGGAGGAGGAGCAGGTTTATGAGGAGGAGAGGCAGGAGGAGGAGGAAGCATGTTGATAAAGAGAAGGGAGGGGGAGGAGGAAGGGGGGCAATTTTCAATACCCACAGGACATCTATCAAACATATTCTCGTGGGGTGGTCATACCCCCAGAGGACAGCAACAGGGAGCTCCATGCACGTGAAGGACAGGGCGGAGGCGTGGAGCTGTTCCTCACTCTGCAGCGGTAGCGGGAAGTGCCTCCGGAGCGCCATCTGTCGAGGCAGAAACAGGAGTGTCCATCCGCAACTCGGAACTCGGAGGGTGGGTACCTTCGCGGCGAGTGTGGGCCTGCGGGCAGGGTCCAGCGGACACACGCAGGAGAGGGGGAAGGGACTGGGGAGGGATGGGGGGTGGGAGGGGGAGAAGGAGCAGACTGCGGGTAAAGGTGGATGGGAAGGAGGCGGGGAGGGGGAGTGGGATGATGAGGATGAGGATGGGGGGAGGGCGGAGGAGGAGGCGGAGGAGGCGAGTAGGAGGGGAGGAGGAGGAGGAGGATAGGAGTAGGAGGAGCCAAGAGGAAGAGGGAGATATAGGGGAGGAGGAGGAAGAGAGGAGAGAGAGGGAGGAGGCGAGGAGAAGGAGGAGGAGGAGGACGGACGAGAGGAGGGAGAGGAGGAGGGGAGGAGGAGAGGAGGAGGAGGAGGAGGAGGAGGAGGGGCGGAAAGGAGGGAGGAGGGGAGAAGCGGAGGAGGAGGAGGGCGGAGGAGGATGATGAGGCGGGAGGCGGAGCAGAGTTGAGGGAAAACGGCTGGAGGGGAGGAAGGAACGGGAGGGGGAGGGGATGATGAGGATGAGGATGAGGGATGGGGAGGGGGAGAGGAGAATGAGGAGGAGGAGAGAGGAAGGAGAGGACGGGGGAAGGGCGAGGAGGAGGCTGAGAAGGAGGAGGATGGTGGAGGAGGAGGAGGAGGAGGAAGCGGAGGAGGAGGAGGCGGAGGAGGAGGAGGAGGAGGAACAATTTTACGAATACCACTGCTGATACTACTAAGCAAGAGGAGGATGAGGAGGAGGAGGCGGAGGAGGAGGAGGAGGCCCCCTCCTCTTAGGAACGGTTGGCTCCGCTTCGCCACCGTTCGCGCGGCCGCGCGGCGGCCGCGTCGCGGCGCTTGTAGCAGACGCTTCCGCAGCGCCGCGAGAGAGAGAGAGGGACACACACACACATATATATATATATATATATATAAACAAAGAAAGAGAGCCAGAGAGAGAGAGAGAGAGAGAGAGAGAGAAAGAGAGAGAGAGAGCGACAGAGAGAGTAGCAGGAGCAGACTGAGGAGGAGCTGAACAAGGAAATGGCTGGAGAAGGCGGGTGATGCCATGCGCGAGGGTGATGGTGATAAGGAGGGACGAAGAGCACGGATGATGAACAGGAGCATCATGAGGAGAGGAGGATCAGCACACGGAGGAGTTGGCGAGGGAGTATGACCACACGTCGACTGATGCTGATATTGATGAATGTTGACTGTTATGATAATGGTGATGCGGGCGAAGATGGTGATGCTGAGGCTGATGCTGCTGCTGGCGATGGTGATGATGCTGAGGCTAATGATGCTGATGATTATGATGATGCTGCTGATGCTGATGCTGACCATGCGGATGATGGTGATGATGACGATGCTGATGTTGACGATGGCGCTGATGCTGATGCTGCTGGCGACGACGATGACGGTGCTGATGTTACTGATGATGATGGTTGATGTTATGGCAATTGTCATTATGGTGCGACGATGACATGGTAAATCTGATGATGCTGACACGGGTAATGATGATGACGAGAAGAAGGAGCACGATGATGAAGACGCTGATGCTGCTACTGATGATGAGGATGATGATGATGATGATGATGATGGTAACGCTAATGATGCTGATGCTGCTGATACTAGTGATTATGTTGAGGATGACGATGATGCTGCTGACGCTGCTGATGATGTTGACGATGCTGATGCTGATGATACTGCTGATGAACACGCTGATGGCGATACTGATTTTTTATACCATCAACATTTATGATAGTAATGATGATGCTGATTAATAATGATAATAGTAACGATGATGCTGATGCTGATGCTGATGATGATGATGATGATGATGATGCAGACGCTGATGATGATGGTGGTGGTGATGATGATGATGCTGCTACGGCCGATGATTGCGACTATGCTGACATGACAATGCTGCTGGTGATACTGCTGATGCTTATCCGGCTGATGACGGTGCTGATGCTGATGGGACATGATAACGGTTGCGATGATGATGCTGTTGATGATTATGATAATGGTGAAGGTGGCGATGATTCTGCGGATGCTGATGTTTCTGACGATGAGGATGGGGGTGGGGAGGAGAACGGGATCAGAGGAATGTGGAAGCATGATGATGATGTTGATGATGATGTCGATGACGATCATGATGACGATGATGATGCTAATGCTGACGATGATGATGCTGGTGATGCTGGTGTTGATGATGAAGATGATGCTGCTGCTGCTGATGATGATGATCATGATGATGATGATGCTGATGATGATGATGATGATGATGATGATGATGATGATGATGCTGATGCTGATGATGATGATGATGATGATGATGATGATGATGATGATGATGATGATGCTAATGATGGTGATGATGATTTGTGGTCGCAGTGGTGTGAATACACATGATCACCTGATGCCGTGGGCTTTGGCGGGGAGCTGCAACCTCGCGTTGCAGACGCAACGGCTGCCCGATGGTCCGACACACCCTGTTGTGTCTGCACCCCGCCGCGCGGGTGTGACAGCCACCAGTGACTGGAGATCGACTCCAGCCAGGCAGTACGGACCTGAGGAACCGTGAAGATGATGACCCTGCATACGTCATCACCCAGGAGAGTAGGGACACGCCGATGAAGCACGCTTCTGTGAAGCACGCCTCCATGATGAAGCAGGCCTCCGCGCAGCACAATTATCCTCGAAACGCGACTCCGTGAAGCACGCCTCCTCGATGGCGCAACCCTCCGTGGAACACACCTCGGTGAAGCTCGCTGCCATGCAGCGCGCCTCCTCCAGGCACGCCTCCGTGAAGAGCGCCTCCGTGAAGCACGGTTCGATGAAGCACGCCTCTCCGAGGAAGTTCGCCTCCATGATGAAACGCGCCTCCATGATGAAGCTGGCCTCCGTAAAGCACATTCGATGATGGAGCACGCATCCGCGACGCACACCTGGACGATGAACTCCAGATCTGCGAGACGTGCCTCCGTGAATCACGTCACAGTGGTGAAACACGCTTACATGATCATGAAGTACGTCTCCGTAGCGCACACCACCTTGAAACGCGCTTGCAGGATGAAACATGCCTCATTATGAAGTGCGCCTCAGTGGATCACGCCTCGACGATAAAACACGCCTCCGTGCTGGAGCGCGCCTCCCTGAGGTAAGCGACGCTCTGGGCCCGCTTCGCCGCCGAGAGCACGGCCACCGCTGCCTCCGACCGCAAAAATGGCTCCTGGTGTTGCTGCTGCTGCCGCTGCTGAATTAGGACGCCCACGCGGATCCCGCACCCTTGAACGCGAAGTCGACTCCAGCCAGGCAGTGCGGGCCCGAGGAGCCATCGGTATGGTGACTCTCAGACGCCATCACGCAAGAAAGGAGGGACACGCCGATGAAGTCCGCCTCCGTGAAGCGCGTCCTCCGTGAAGCGGACCTCCCTGATGAAACGCGCCTCGTGATGAAGCCTGCCTCCGTGACGCACAGCCACCCGGGAAGCACGCCTCCGTGAAGCGCGCCTCGCCAGTGATGCACACCTCCGTACGCCTCGGCGACTCACGCTTCCATGAAGCACGCCTCCTGTAGGCGCGCCTCCGTGAGAAACGCCTCCGTGAAACGCGCCTCGATGAAGCACGCCGCCCTGAGGGAGTTCGCCTCCATGGCGCAGCCCGCTTCCATTATGAAGCACGCCGCCATAAAGCACACTTCGATCTTTAATCGCGCCTCCGCGAAGCATGCTTGGATCATGCAGTGTGCTTTTTCGAAACACACTTCCGCGGAACACGTTTGGTGATGACGCACGCCTCGCTGATGAACCACCGAATCCGTGCAACGCACCACCATGACGCAGACCTCCGAGAACACCTCCGCGAACGCACGACGAAGATATCTCTGAGTGGAGCATTCCAAAACGAGCAGTGGCCCGAGCACCGACATGAAGACTTGCCCCAGCTTCCTGAGGAACAGCCCCGCGAGCACTGCGAGCACCCCCGTGATGATGAAGAGCTGTGGACTTCACGAACAGCCCGCGAGAGTGAGGTACCCAAAGCCGAAGCACTCCCACGAAACTCCTCACGGCGAAGCACGCCGCAATGAGGCACGCCCTGACGAATCACTCCACGACTAGACACTCAACGACGCACTTACCGCTGAAGTCTTGATTGATGAAGTGCCCACGTTGGGGGACACCCGGGGGAACCACAACAATACGAACAACAATATATCACACAGCGCTGGTGCCAACTTGGAGACTGCGCGCCAGAAGCCACGGGGTATATCACACGACTCTGCTGGCACAGTGGGGGCGTCAGAACCAGGCGCGGTTGGGTTTTCTCGTTGTAGGGCTGAACCTGGCTGAAAGAAACAAGGATGATCATTACTTTGATGTGCAAGAGAACCGCGACGAAGGAGCGCAACGCTGCCGTGGCAGCGGTGGTTTCTCCTGCCAGTAGCATATCTCAGCGAGCTCGCGGAAGCGGAAGAGGACGGATGGCGCCACGTGGATAGGCCGAGCCCGTGGACTGCCTGGCCACGGGCCGTTCGCGTTCGAGGGACACGCGGAGCCCACGGGGATGTAGAATGACAAGAACGCTTGCACCGCCGTTGCACAACGGCCTGATCTGGTGTAGCGAAATGATGATTTGTGGTCGCAGTGGTGTGAGTACACATGATCACCCGATGCCGTGGGCTCTGGCGTGGAACCGCAACCGCGCGTTGTAGACGCAACTGCTGCCCGATGGTCCGACACGCCCTGCTGTGTCTGTACCCCGCCGCGCGGGTGTGACGGGCGCTGGTGGCTGGAGATCGGCTCCAGCCAGGCTGTACGGGCCCTGCGAGCCATGGAGTTCAGGATGGTATGCTGTTGATGGCGATGATGCTGATGATGACGGTGATGATGGTGATGGTGATGATGATGTTGACGATGCTGATGTTGATGGTGCTGGTGGTGATGCTGGCGATGATGAGGATGCCGATGATGATGATCTTGTTGATGATGATGATGTTGACGTTGCTGATGATGATGCTGGTGATGATGATGATGCCGAGGATGATGATGATGATGCTGGTGATGATGGTAATGCCTAGGATGATGCAGCTGATGATGATGATGGCGATGGTGATGGCGATGCGAAGGCTCATGAGGAGAAGAACGAGGACGAACACCAACACCAGCAACAGGAGAAACATGTTAACAGGGGAATGCAGAGGAGGACGAGGAGGAGGAGGAGGAGGAAGAGGAACATGATCAGGAGGATTAGGAGGAGATATATGAAGAGGAGGAGGGGAAGGAGGAGGAGGAGAAGGAATCATATCGATACTATGCATATTCATGACAAGAGGAAACATACAACAGTACTACTAAGAAGACTAATACGAAGAAAACGAAACTAATCATATTGAGAAGAGTAATACTCATACAAAAAATGGTATTAGTCATTGTCGTACTACTAAGAAGAATGCGACTACTAAACATAGTAATACGAGTAAGCAAATTCACAATGATAAGAAGGAGTGTAAGACGAATACTAGTAACACTAAGCAGTTACTATTACTATAAAAACAAGACGGACAAGAAGGTGACACATGATGATGATGATGATGATGATGATGATTCTGATGGTGATATTAATGCTAATAAACGAATCACATAACAAGTAATAACAGTCAGAATGGTACAAATAATAAAAATCGTTGAACTACTAGTAATAATGAAATCTTATTCGTAAGTCGCATCGCGATAACACTAGTAGTACGAATACTAATAATACGACGTAGGAGGATGAGGAGGAGGAGGAAACGTGAGAGGAGGAGGAGGAGGAGGAGGAGGAAACGTGGGAGGAGGAGGAGGAGGAGGAGGAGGAGGGGCAGGAGGAGGAGGAGGAAGAGGAAGAACAAGAGGGCTGGTCAGGACTGGCCGCATCGATTCGCTGACGCTGGAGCAGCTGGAGGAGCGAGAAGAACAGCTCAAAAAGGACATGGGGGTTGGCTTATCGGAGTTGTGCCGGACGTCTATGGGCATCTCAGGGGGGGGGGGGGGGGCTTGTCAGGCAGCAGTGCTGGCAGCAGGATATGATAGTGGAGGAACAGAAGGGGGATGGCGTGATGAGGAAGGAGGGGGGATAGGGGCCAGAGGGACAAGGAAGGAATGGGCGAGGGAGAGGAGCAGGTGGAGGACTGGAGTAAACCCAGGATGCATCAATGATGCTGCTCTACACCCTCCCGTCCAACGTCCTTTCCTCATAAGTAACTCCCTGCAGTCAGTCAATTACTGCGGGAAGCTATCGCCCAATGGATTCACCCATATTCTGAAGGCAAGCCGCCTTCCATCGTTTTGGACGAGCCTTCGGCGCACACCGCCACCGTGCCCGGGTCGTGGAAAAGAAACCTATCGGAAGCCTCTTGTGGGCCTCTTTGCCGTCGCGTGGGGCCTCCTGGGAGCCTCTCCGGGGCCTCCTGGGGCTTTCTGGACCTCCTGGGTGCCTGCTGGCAGTCTCGGGGGCCGTCGTGGGGGAATAATTGGACACAGTAGTTCGGGTTGCGCCTCTTGGCCCCTCTCGGGCCTTCTTGGGGACGTCTTGAGGGAACCTTTTTGGGACCTCTTCGGAGCCTCGGGGCCCGTCTTGGTGCGATCTTTAGGGACTCCCCAGTCGTCTTGGACGCCCCCAAATCATACAATGATCTTGTGGTTATTGAAAAGGGTTGGGAACTTTTTTCACCGGCACCGAGGGCCTTCAAGATGGCCCAACATGCCTCCAAACAACGCTAGGGTGCGATCGCTGCAAACCCGGCGCTCACCCGTACGCCTTGGCCCGGCCTCGGGAGAGCAAAAAAAGTCAGAAAGAGATCATTGCGTTATCTCACTTTTCCATTCTCAAACAACGCTCACGAGGCCTCTTCAAAAGTCTTGCGGGGATTCCGAAGAGCACCCGGGGCGCTGTTGAGTAAGTGGCAAGAATTACAGCCAAGGCGCTGAAATACGGAACAGTGGTTCGGAAGGGGCTCGATGCTCCTCAAGTCTTTCCTTCCGTGGCTGTTTCTCTAGCGCTTCCTGCCCACGCGCGTTTGGGGCACAAAGGGGTTTCGTTCCTTCTGTACGGTTCCTGAAGTTCCAGCAGCCCGACTTACGGGGACTATTTTTTGATTATGTTTGATTATTTGGGGTATTTGTTGCGTACTTCTCTGTTTTCGCTTCAAATCCGCCTGTAGGGGTACGCGCCCGACCGAACTGTACTATCATCGAGTTCTGCAGGGTGCCCAGCGGCAGCCCCCGTTCCGAGACCGAGCCGCGCCGTGTCCGTGCAGCTCGGTGACTCGCAGCCTTGCCCGTGCAGCCGTGCATGCCGAATACGGTTGGCTTCCAACGGTGCTTTCTCGCGGTGTCTCTTGCGTGCGGACACCACGGGGGACATATAGCACCAGTAAAACAACGATTTGGCGTCCAACGGTGCAGTCTCGCGGTGTCTCTTGCGTGCTGACACTATGGATTGCACCAGTTTTTTAAAAAGCATTTGGCTTCCAACGATCGTCCGGTGAAACTGTATCGCCTCTCGCCCCTGGAAGTGATATCCCGCCCCCGGGCCCCTCAGTGCGGGATCTTGCCAAGAGCACTGATGGGATCTCATGACGACCCCAAATCGGACTCCAATGGTAGCAAAGGAGGGTTGCAACACGAACCCAGCAACTAGTATCCCAGTCGGATTCCGATTAGTTTCTGAAATCGTTCAAAGAGGATCCCGGACAGACATGAGGATTATGATAATGTACGGGGATAAAAGGGCAGCCTGAGCAATGCCAGCATTTTGTGAACATTGTGAGGATGTGTGCTTTGCCCTTCTCGCACAACAAACGTCCGCGCTGTGTATATACCTTGAATCGTATCGATCATAGCCGCAGGTATTTGGAATTGACGCAATGCGTGCAGCAGCCCGTCGGGATTGATACGATCAAGCGCCTTGCTCCGGTCTAACAGAAGTATGAGCAATGCCCCATGCTTGTCTTCAAGTGTTGCGTCGATTAAGCGGCGTGCCAGAAACAAAGAGACGTTCTGATAATTATCAGTCAATGCGCCCCTTCCGCACCACCAACCTTTCGCCCTGCCTGCTCCTTCTCCTAGCGCGCACTGCCCGACGTACTGACTGCTTCTGCTTCCGCAGCTATACCACTCTTGGCTCGAGGGAAACGGAAAAGGAACGAGCCTGCGGCGTGCGCGCGTGCGTCGGCCAGCGGGCCGGCTTCCTCCCTTCAGTGTTACCTTAGTGTATGCTTGACGGCGCTGTCCCTTCTTCCCCACATCATCGGCGGAGCCCACTGACCATGAGATATGATCGGAACCTCTTGGAGGCATTGTGAATATCCAGGCAAAATATTGGTTATCAGCCGAAACGACGGCACAGCCGTTCGCTTCGCAGAGCATGGGATCACAAGAAGGAGCGCTCGGACGAACAGAAGATCGATGCCCTTCCGAGCGTAACGGAAGTATAGGCGCCTCAACGAGGCGACAACATATTCTCAACCTTCCTAGGAAGCAAGCATCAGAGACTGTGTTTGATTTGACAGAAGGGGATTCATCGGTTGACTCGGTGACAATATCCAGAGCGCAATCCTCGGGCGGAAGGTATGGCGCAGCCAGAACTTCCGCCGAGGGACCACCTGAGTTGATGTCGGTGCACCCTGTCTTTCAGCCATCGGTCGACGTAGATCTTGAGATGGAAAGTTGTTGGGGCGCATCCCCATCGGAATGTCGGGCGCCGAAAGTCTAGGCGCAGGACGTGCGGCGCAGTTCGCGCTGCATGGGCAGCGAGGATATGAACGACTTGCAATCGGAAAGGGATCGTTCTCATTCGATGGGAGAGAACAAAGAACATGCCCGATTTCACACCTCGCCTGGTCCATCGTATCATCTCGATCCTCTCCCCGACCGGTGTGTCGGGCTCGCCTCAGGCTCAGGCCCGTTAGTAAGTGCGACGATGGACCATGTAACGGTTGAGGCCACTCAGAAGGCCATTCCTGATTCGGACGACGATCTCGAAGACGGAGGAAGCCTTGACCGATGTGGATGCCCGTCGGCACAGCCGATGTCGAGCTACCCCGACGTAGTGCGTGCAGTGAGGAATGCGCGAGAAAGTGCAGGCGGGACTCCCCGTCCATTGACGAAGCAGCCGAAGGGTGAGAACGATGACATGAATACCTCGCCCTTACTGAAGGGTTTCTACATGCCCGACTTCTCATTGCCCAGGGCTAACAGGGACAGGGTGCCAGAACTTGATGAGCTCGTAATGCAGGGCGAAAGAGATGATTTTGCACAGAGCATGGGCGTTGATATCATCAAGGGGAGTGTGAGAACAAGAGAACAACACACGCCTACCCCCAGAAGTGAAAGGGGGCGTTCCAGTATGGCCCCCAGGGCCGGACGTTCCAGTTCTGGGGAGTTCAATGCCTTTGAAAAGCCGCGGATGTCATCGAACAGAACCACCGGCAGCCTCTCGATGCGGGGGGGCCGCTGGAACGCCGGGCCCGCGTGCCCCTTTCGGGCGGAGACTCGATGCCCAGAGAAAGCGCACAAACCAGGGGTTTCATGTAGAGGGCAAGTGTGTTCTCAATGTTCGAATGTTTGCCCCAAATGTAGTCTGGCATGGCTCTGTGGGGGGTGTGTCACGATGGGAGAGCGCAGCTGCCAGCGGATCGCAATTCAAGAGTGGGCGGGAAGAAATTGACAGGATCGGGAACTGTTGAGGGCTGCGAGCGCACACTTGCAACTTATCATCTTCGAGGCACAGGACGATGAGAAGGCCGCCGAAGGGGCTCAGCGAATGTTTGCAGTTTCCGAGGTTGAGAGGCAGGCGATGGCACGAAAGGTGGAACATGAGAAAACCATCATTGAGGAAAATGCGCAGGAACAGATACAGCATGCTGAGGCTAACGTAGCAGGAAGTACAGAGGAAGCCCAACGGCGCCATGCCCAAGAAGATTGGAAGATTGAGAGTCCAGAACATCGCCGAACAACTGGTGTCAGACTCTCAGCGGAAGGCTGAGAGGTGGAAAGCGGAATACAGAGAACAGGCTGATGCAGCGAGGAGGGAAGGAGAGAACGCAGCCCGAGAACAGGCGGCGCGAGAAAATCAGGAGCTCCGCAATCAATTTGAAGCTGCTAGACCCGAGGCCGAAAGAGTAACATCGGAAGCCTTGCGAGCTCTCGAGAACAAGAACAGAAGGCCCAGGTGACCAGAGAGGACCAGAAAAGACTGGCCGTTGCCCGGGATCGTCCGAAGGGGCACGCAGGTGAACATATAAGAAACAATGTTGCTGCCACTCGGGCCGTGAGTGAGGACAACAGGAGGTTGAGGTCTGATTTGGAGCAACGTCGGATGGACAAAGAACCGCGGGGTAGGGTTCGGTTAACCGGGCAATCCGCGACATAATCCTTGCCGAAAGCGAGGATATGAATGATTTGCAATCGGAAAGGGATCGTTCTCATTCGATGGGGAAGAACGAAGAGTATGCCCGATTTCGCACCTTGCCTGGTCCATCGCAGCATCTCGATCCTCTCCCCGACCAGTGTGTCGGGCTCGCCTCGGGCTCAGACCCGTTAGTATGTGCGACGGTTGACCATGTGACGGTTGAGGCCGCTCAGAAGGCCATTCTTGATTCGGACGACGATCTCGAAGACGGAGGAAGCCCTGACCGAGGCGGGTGCCCGTCGGCGCAGCCGATGTCGAGCTACCCCGACGTAATGCGTGCAGTGAGGAATGCGCGAGAGATTACAGGCGCGACTCCCCATCCGTTGACGAAGCAGTCGAAGGGTGAGAGCGATGACATGAATATCTCGCCCTTATTGAACGGTTTCTACATGCCAGACTTATCATTGCCCAGGGCTAACAGGGACAGGGTACCAGAACTTGATGAGCTCGTAATGCGGGGCGAAAAAGATGATTTTGCACAGAGCATGGGCGTTGATATCATCAAGGGGAGTGTGAGAACAAGA